AATATATTTGTGATGAATATCATTATAACAGAATGTCTATGTCTTCGTACAAACAGAACAACGATATGATCAGTTTTTTGTCGCTTGAATAATAGCATGTTAAGGAAGTTCACTACTAAAACAACAAGCTTTTTAAAAAATTAGTTACAGTTTGATAGTACATACATAACGAAACTAAAAAACAGACAAGCATCCGTGTCCTTGTTTTTGAGATAGAAGCCATTGGACATTTGTTGGGAACTGGTTTTCTCTAGAATGTTCGTATACTTAACATTCACGCTTTTCGTTTTTTGTTGTTGTTTTTTTTTCAAAAACAATAATAAAAAAAAAATGATAACAAGGATTAATTTAGATTTTCAAAAAGGACTTTTTTAAACTTTATAATATTAAAATATGAAAGTAAAAGTAGGGGTATGCGGGTTAAATTTGTAATTGCTCTCATGGATAAAACCAGAGTATTCCGAATATCAACAATAAAACCAAAAAAGTAAGAAAAATGAGCAGCGACCTTCATTTTAAATTATTTTGTTTTACACTACTACAGAAATATATCATTTGTCGGACCTCTATATACTATAGAAAAGAAGTAAAAGCGTCTATGTTGTTGTCATTTAAAAGGGGAAGGTTTATGACATGCAAAAAACAAATCATATCAGTGTGTTACATCTTAACGGATTTGAATGAATATTAGATAAATATAACTTAGCGTATTGAAGTGTATTAGCTCACCTCGTTCGAAGGTTCAGTCTCAGCATTTCTCATCTATTGGAACTTGCCATTGTTTTGAAAATTATTGTAAAAACTATGATAAATCAAGAGATTCGTTTGATGAACTTGAATCAACAAGAACAGATATGTGACTAACTAACACGGTCAAAATGATCTGTTGACTACTCAAGAAAATATTGCACTTAATTGACAATTTTTTATTTGTGTTTTTGTCTATAAACTTGATTCCTTTAAAAGATAGGAAGACCTTTTTACAAACCCATTACTAGTACGCTTAATAATAGAGTTACACAGTTATATATATGTCTTGTACAAGTTGCGATTTTGTACGTGTTATAATGTGTACATAAATATTGTACATGTTATAATTTCCAATTGTGAACTTTCCATTTCTATGTAGCAACATTCCAGCAGCGCCTGCATACGGAGTATATATCTCCCAATTGATACGAAATTCCCGGGCTTGTATTTCCTATCATGATTTCCTTGATAGAGGATTGCTGCTCACAAGGAAGCTATTAAACCAAGAGTTCCAAATGGTGAAGTTGAAATCATCCCTTCGTAAATTTTACGGACGCCATCACGAGTTGGTTGACCGTTATGGAATAACCGTTTCACAGATGATATCGGATATGTTCCATATGTCGTAACTACAATACCCTTCCCCTTTCACGAATGTGACCTACCGATTTAGACTATTTACCGGATTTGTAATAACATAAGCTACACGACGGGTGCCACATGTGGAGCAGGATCCGTTTACCTTTCCGGAGCACCTGAGATCACCCCCAGTTTTTGGTGGGGTTCGTGTTGCTTAGTCTTTAGTTTTCTATGTTGTGTCATCTGTACTATTTATTTGTCTGTTTGTCTTTTTATTTTGGCCATGACGTTGTCAGTTTGTTTTCGATCTATGAGTTTGACTGTCCATCTGGTATCTTTTGTCCCTATTTGATAACATGTACAAAAGTGTGTCGTACATTTTATAACATGTACAAAAGCACCTCGCACATGTTATAACGTGTACGAAATATTGCTTAAAATAGTTTTAACTTGAACAAAATTTGAAAAAAAAACTATGTTTTATTTCTATTATTACCACACATGTCATTAACCTAAATAATATTTTCATCTGTTTTTTATTCTCTATTCATGTTAGTGTGTTTTTGTCCTATATATATAACCATCAGATATAATCAGTCGACTCTCAATAAGAGTTTTTTTATTGTTATTTGATATCGATTTTTAATAATGTTCTGCGACTTTTTTTTTTTTATTGAAACTATACATTTTTTATACCTTAAAAAGAAACTTTAAAAGGCAGACAAAATCAGCATGGCAAGATCGACAAATAAATCAGAATGCTGAAGCTATTAGTCAACACATCATAGGAGTCTCTATCCTTCAATGATATGTTAATCTATTGTTTGCGCTTTTGGATATGTTCGTGAAAACTGTTATAGAGAAAGGGAACTATTATTTACAAGAGCAAACTATGATCCGCTAGTTGATATTTGCAAACAAAATCAAATGACCGAAATTTACAATTTCGACCAGTCTGTGGGTTCTTGACAAAACATACAGTAGATGGACTGATGATGTAACAGCCAAAAGTATGATAAATGGAAGATCTACACAAAGTCAGTTGACCAAAATCGTCAGTCGACCTTTTTTAATTTTACCTATTGCCTTTAAATGAAGATTTGTACTATTTGCTTGTGTTTTTCACCTTTATTATTACAATCGTAGATTAAGAAAAAAAATAGGCATTATTTTGATCAACATCTTTTTAACACTAGTTATCGAGGACTGGCTTTTGTCTTCCCAAGGTCAAAAGAGTAATGTTCCTTGGTAGTCATCATAAAGAGATTATCTTGAATAATATGTAAAAATCCTTAAGTTTGTAAATGCCGTCGGGTTTTTATTCATGAAATTAAATTCTTTCTTACTTGAAGATGCCAAAAAAATTTATTTATGCTGTACTTTCCATTGAAAGCAACACAATTGTAAAACAGCGAATTTCTATGACATTTGTTTAACAGATGTCACACAAATATTTAATATAGTTCGGAAGATTATTCATCACTCACGACACAAATAAAGACTAGAAACTATTGAAAATGTTTAGCAGTAAATCAACTGGTAATGGGATGATGATTGAAATAATACGAAAAGAACCAAATGTCGCTTAAGGCGACGAGAAACGAGGGTCTGGATGTCTTCATTTGTGTATCTTAAAATAATTCATCATATATTTTTCATTTCTTATTTTTTGGACCTGTTGTTCTCTTTTTTTTAAATTGTACAACTCCATGATTCCCTATTCTTTATAATGTAGCACCCATTCTCCCCTATTCTCTATAGTGTACCACCCCATTGTTCTCTATTCTTTATAATATAGCACCCAATTATTCTCTATTCTCTATAATGTACAACCCCATTGTTCTCTATTCTTTATAATATAGCACCCAATTATTCTCTATTCTCTATAATGTACAACTCCATTGTTCTCTATTCTTTATAATAAAGCACCTAATTATTCTCTATTCTCTATAATGTGACACCTTATTATGCATGTTATGCTCTATTATCTATATTGTAGCATCCATTACTCTCTATTCTTTATAATATACCACCCCATTATTTTTATTCTGTTTAATGTAGCACCTTAATAATCTCTATTCTCTATAGTGTACCATTATATTGTCCTCTATTCTTTATAATGTAGCAACCCATTATTCTCTATAGTGTGCCTGTGTAGCACCCCGTTAGTCTCTATTATTAATAGTGTACATATGTCGCACCCTATTATTCTCAATTCTTTATATTGTAACATCCTACTACTCTCTATTATTTATAATGCAGTACCCCATTATTCTCATTTCTTTATAATGTAGCACCTTATTATGCTCTAACAGTTATTGCCCTCTTGTTTAAATAAGCGAACAAACTGTGTTCAAATCTGATACAATCTACTGCGCAGAGCTTCTGAAATGACGTAAAGCAAAACAATGATATAAGGGTTTTCTACAAAGCTTTAACAAGACAAACTAGAATACAAGGGTGTTATGATTGAAACTCCACTTCACCATTTTCTGTTCACACCCTTACGAGAATTTGGCAGACTTAGAAGTAAAGCGTTGTTTAAAAAAAAACAGGGATTAAAGATCCAATTATTAATCTCTGGTGGGATGTCAATACAATTGCTATTATTTTGATGATAAGCATGGGAACTACCAGTACGAAACACAAGCAACGATGTCGGACTGATACACATATATTTAAGCTTTTTGTATACTAAGAAATTTCCTTTCAAAATTTGATCATGGCACTTAATTCTCGCGTACCTTTTTTAGATAAAAGAAAAACATGTAATCACCGATAATTTGTTATGAATCAACTGTATGTGTTCTATTACAGTATGCATCTTTTCGCAGTTGTTATTGATAATTACCTCGGACATAAAAGTTATTCCACTGTACATGCTATATACAGTAAGGTACAGAATGTCGTGTGGTTTATTCTGAGGAAAACGGATATGCAACTTGATCATAATGCGACAAAATGTGTTGCCAGAAACATCATAGTGTAAACATTAACACTGTATAGGTATCACTAACCGCTTATATAACTGATGCGCGATTAAAAAAAGTCAGGCCTCTCCAGCTGCATTAAAAAATGTGAGAAAAGGTAAATTTTTTTTCAGTATGGTGCAATAGAATACAATTTAAACTAATGAATTAAACGTTCATAACTACTAGTCTCTAAGACTTTGTGTGTAACTTTCTCATTCTTTTTTCGTGCTTATTTTTTATCCAGCTCTTTCAATCTGATTTATACAGTTTATATGCTGCCCTGGGTAAAATGTCCAGGTGGAAGGCAAAATGTATAGTTTAACATGTTAAATTACAGTCTGCATGTGTCTGATATACATTTATTTAATCCATTAAATAATGCGCCCGAAACTGTCTGTAGAACTTTATAAATTAAATCTACAGACTTTCTTGAAAGACTCTCCGAGTTGTCTTAAAGCATGGGGTTATACTCGGACAAGAGTTAAAGAAAATCGGGAATTGTGGAAACTTTTTTTCCGTATTAACCTCAACATCATACATGATATGGTTATTGTTTGCAACATTCAATGCTCAGGAGTAAGTAATCCTTATATGATATGAGAAAAAAGGCAAAAGATACCAAAAGAAATAAAATTGAATTGAATATAAATTAACAAAGAAAAGGCAAAAAAAAAAGACCTCACAAAAAACCAAACAAGACAAATTTTGATAGGACGTGAAGAAAAAACAGTATTCATTGACTATTTGCGAACTTCATTACCACATTCAAAACATTGCGTTTAATAATTCCCTGTCAATAACAGATTCAACAAAATATATTATATCAGCTGCAATATATTTTGGATGGTGTAATTCAATTGCATCTCGGCATCACAAACATTTTGTTTTATGCATGCGCATTCTGACGTATTGTCCACTGTAAGGAGCATGGGCATTAATTATTCTCAATTAGAATTTCCCGCTTGTACCCTTGAAAACAATGCAATGTATATTGCATCTCATAATACATTGTTGTCTCTTTGACATATTCCTTATTTCCATTCTCAATTTTACTCAAACACTTATATTTGATAAATCCTTCTTATGGATTAAACCATACCACTCATGTATACGTCTGTAATTTATGCATCTTGATTGCTGTATGCTCACATATTTGCGTCTAATACCAAATCGCCTTTTTATTTGAATACGGTAGATGTTTTTTGCTTTGCATTATCTTTCATATTTTCCAGTTAAATCATTTTGGGTTTATTTTTGAACTATTTTAACCACAAGTTGACATATATTCTGCTTTGGTCTATTGATACCATTGTCCCGAATACGTCTGCAGTATGGTATTATTAACATCATATTCCTTGTAACATTCACCCGCTTGTCCGACTGTGAGTCACTTGTGTGTATTGGAGATGTTATGTTGTTCTCATTCTTGCATGCTCTTTATCTTTTTTAAATCCTTGAAATGTTTCATAAAAATTATTGAAAGACATCGTTACATTCTGTTGATGAAAGTTGGAAATACGAGATCACTCCATAATTGGGCTCCGTCGCGGTCTTTTTGACATGCAGTGTGTTCCTTTACAAACTCCAATGTCCTTCTATCGTACCATTCATTTTTAAGTTCAGGAAAAGTAATTACGACCAATTATTTTCAGTGCCGACATATCTGTCAAACATAAACATACATATAAGGAAAGAGTCTAACCTTTAATTCTTAATTTATGATGATTTTGATAATTTATCTTTGCTTATATCGGAAGAACATAAAGCTTCAACTTAAAGACCAAACAGCCTATTCAGTTCTACCAGTGATTTTTCCTTAAAATTTTGTGTGAAGGTATTTCATGTTTTGAGGAACAAAATATGATAAAAAAAAATTGGGGGTCACCGACTTAGTTTTGTCACTATAGCAACCTCAGTTTCGTGTTTTCCCGAATATTAACATGATAAAATTGAGAATGGAAATGGGGAATGTGTCAAAGAGACAACAACCCGACCATAGAACAGACAACAGCAGAAGGTCACCAACAGGTCTTCAATGCAGCGAGAAATTCTCGCACCCGGAGGCGTCCTTCAGCTGGCCCCTAAACAAATATATATACTAGTTCAGAGATAATGAACGCCACACTAAACTCCAAATTGTACACAAGAAACTAAAATTAAAAATAATACAAGACTGACAAAGGCTAGAGGCTCCTGACTTGGGACAGGTGCAAAAATGCGGCGGGGTTAAACATGTTTATGAGATCTCAACCCTCCCCCTATTCCTCTAGCCAATGTAGAAAAGTAAACGCATAACAATACGCACATTGAAATTCAGTTCAAGAGAAGTCCGAGTCTGATGTCAGAAGATGTAACCATATGATATTTGCTTGTTATTCAAACTCTCAAAAAATACCATTATATCAAACCTACAAGCATAATTCTTGTTTCATGTTAAACAGTAGATTTGTGCCTATCAAATACAGGATCAAGACTTTAAGACTCTTATTGTTTTGATCTTAAAAAATATGATTTATTTCATTCCCGCCAAAAATAAAACGCAAGAATGAAAAACGTTTCAAGTATTAAAAAATATCTACCAGTGATTTTTTCATAAAAATTTCAAGAAAGAAAGTGCCATGTGTACTCTTCAAAATAAAGCAAAAAAATGTATATGTCACCGACCTTTCAAAAAAGTTATGATTAATTTTCATGTTTTTTTCTCGTTCGTTTTGAAGAAAAGAGTTGTCTTTCTTCAGAACATTGAATCTGACGTCATAGTACAAGTTTTCCTTGTTGGCGCACGGTTTGAAAAAAAATTGCAAATTGGACGTTTGAAACCCACATTTAAATTTTCAAGAATCAAGAATAACAACTATATTCACCTACTTTATTATCCGGTAATACAAGAGATCACATGTATGTATCAGTATCAGATCTCATGATGTTGTTGCCGCACAAAATTAACCTCCAGAAACACCATCCGTCGGATTGAAAAATTGTTCGACGCTTTAGAAAGGAAAGTCTGTTTTTGTCCTCTCCATCTCATTAGCAAAATCATTGAAAATAAAAAGAGAAATGAAAGATGATTACTTACAGACTATTTGACTATATTAGACTAGATGTGTTGGTTTTTTTTGTCGCGTCAATTTCAGAACTTCGCCCTAGCGCACACTTTCGCTACTATTGACAGACGGACAGACATTAGCACGGACGGACTTCTTTATACCATTATGTGTCCCGACTAAGACGAGCGTATACAAATTATTCCAACTTGTTTGTGGATTCATTATTTCTTCAAATATTTAAAATATAAGAAAATTAAAATTATAGGTATAATATATGAATTAAAGTTTTTGATTCTAAAACGTTTTACATCCATTTAACCTATCATAAAATACGATCCCCGTTATTACTACCTCACGTGTTTTGAATAAACGAGACAGTAAATATAAAATACAAATAAGTTTGTTTAATTCAAAAATTGATTTAGAATCTAAGAAATAATTTTCCGTTGAAAACTATAAAGTATTTCTCAAAACAGGATGAAATATTATGAATCTAAATATAGTCGAGGCAAATAGGAAATACCATAATATTATGAAATTTCATAATTTTATTGATATATTGGATCAAAGTGGAGTTGTCTTTCTTAGACGCCTAGTGTCAAAATGGACATGGGAGATAACAACTTTTGTCTTAAACGAAGTCGAAAGGAAGACAACTCATTATTATAAAAAGTTAACATTTAAAATATAAATTTGTATAACAATTTAGGAATTTATTAAATTGGGTTCGAACTATGGGTTTTATTATACACAAGGAGTAACTCTAGATAAATCAAACTTGACTAAAGATTATTTAAAATCTGGTGTAATGAACTAGAAAGAATCATTATATTTATTACTATTTTATCAGTCTCCGACATAGCAAATCATGCATGTGGAGGTCAATTGCGAATTTATTTACAGTTTATTTATTATGTAAAAAAATTAAAGACCGTAAAATCATGCAAAATCACAGACAAATATTTCTAAAAAAAACACTGTAAAATATGTTTGAAAATCTAACAACGGGAGATAAACAAACAATCGAATTCCTCACAAAAACTGATAACTATGACAATAATTATTACGTTCTGTCAATAGCCTGTGTACAAATAAGCATAGACATTTATGCGATTGATGCGGATCTGAAATTACAACATTAACAATCTACAAAGCTGAAAAGTAATTCTTTGCATCATAGCAAATTATTAATGTCCAAATGATGGACATTGGCTATCTGATAAAGAAAATAAATTCACTAAAAGCTTAAAAACAAACAGCTAAATGTCCATAATATTTTATATATACGTAGAATTCTGAGTTGAGGTGAATTAATTGTAACAAAGAATATTTATACCTTTAATCTTTTTTAATTGCACATGCTCATGGAGATAAAACACATTTGGCAAATAACCTATTGTTATTTGGAATGAAACTACTCAGCATAAATTGATCGATGACAATTTGTTCACCATGGTTCCAGTTGAATGTCAAACTATTTGTACATTTAAATGCGTATTATGTGCATATTTCTACGTACATTTGTCAGATATTTCTATATGAAAGAAGTGATTGTATACAAATGCTTAAGTTAAAGAAAGATAAAACTGAAAAGTATTGATTCAAAACAGTTACACCAGTTAAAAACAGAGCATAAGTAAGGTCATGAAGTCTCCTCACGGCAATCCCACCTCAGGATATCACGTATTGATGACTTCTGACCAGGCAAAATAAATTATCTTAGTCAAAGGGATATTTCAAACTAATTAAAATAAAAAAAAATCAGAACAAGATCTGAGATAATCAGTACTGTTATTGTAGTGGGTGCATGGGTGGCTAGGGGGTCGTTTTCTGTCGATTACGAGTAGAGCATGGCATCATTTGGATCAGATACTTTGGTAACGGGTATATTAAATTAAAATGATTTTCATATTTTGATTTCATTCATTAGAATTAAAGTTCTGCAACACAATGGAGTAAAAATTTGAAGGCGTTAAATACATTAACCTTTGCAGAAATAGTCACATGATATGAATCATATTACAATTTATAATGTGAAATGTAAATAATTTGGAATACAATTTTCTTCGGTTCACATCTGTGTTTGTTGGTAATCTTATCTAAGGGCACCTGCTGGGAGAGATGTACTTCCTGATAATTTAACAAAATATATAAATAACCAGTGACACAGTTCCAGGCTTACTGCTAGTGCAGTTTTATAGAATAGTATAATAATCTACATTGGAAAAGATTGAAAGAAATTAGATTTGAAGGTATACATGAATTGCATAACATGACTCGTAGGGTTTTATTCGAAATGTAAATACCGTGCATTTTTCAAAGTAATAATTTGTCCACACACAATGTTTATAAGTTTTTATACAGTTTGCAGATTCAGGTTAAATAAAAAAAAAAGTATCGCCACTAGAATAACATAAAATATTCAAATACACGTATGAAGCATAGCTATAGTGAATAAATAAATAATAATAATTGATCAATGAAATCATAGAATGATTTGAAGATGAAATATTAATTCGACTGCAAACCAACAAATCAAACAACACAATACAAAATAACGTAAAATAGAGTTTTAACACCATCCAATAAGAAGTTTCAATAGATCAGTATTAATCCGATTTGAATCTCTCTCATGGTAAAGAACGACATAATATGCCCCGACAGCATCCCGGTTATACCGAATGTGATCCGACAGAGTTCAGAGAGTGACCAGACAGTGAACCGACGCTAACGGAAGATATATATCCGTGGGTATTATTGCCAAATTTCGTATTAATAACGGGACTGATCCGGAACGGTTTTGGCAAAGACTGTTCGCATTAGGCAAGATCTTATTGCAATCTGGACTCAATCGGCAAAAAACAGCAATGACATATTTCTCCAGATCATGTCTGTTCAACAGGACACCGTCCAGAAAACACAGAACATAATAACGATTGTTACGATTTCAATCCGATACAGCAGAAACTGTCACGACATAGTTACGATTGTAATCCGATTATAGATAATATCAGTTGAGTCTTCCCGAATGTTACGGAACTCACCTAACTGTCGGGTGTTTAGCTAACCTCTGCGGACCTACATATTAATTCGTGACCTTCGCATGCTATTCATGTAATGTTTGCAATAATTCACTAATCCATCATTTCAATAAGCGGATCTGTGTTTAGTATATATTATTTAAAAGTATTTGATTTGTCTTGTCTAGTCTTGTCTTGTCTTTCAGTTTAAGCTGGGGTCACACATTTACGATTTTTAATGCCGTCCTTAACAGGACCATTCCCGATTAAAATTTGTCAAAAGTCTGATCAAAATCCTTTGAATCGTGGATGGAAATTCTAAACTTAAATTAAAATTTGTAAAAAAAAAATATATTTAAACACGACAACAATCAGATATTATTCAGGAAGCGTCGATATTCAACCGTTTCCAAGCGAATTTGTCCCGACAATCCCGTTCTCAATCCGATTCTAATCCGATGTTTATCATTCGCATGGTAGAAAAGGACCGAATCTGTCCCGACAGCGTCCCGATTCTACCAAATGTAATCCGACAGAGATCAGACAGAATTTCGTATTAAGGGCATACGATACAATTACAGGGGAGGTAATGACATTGCTAACGTAAACCTTTATTTTCGCGACGTCAAATTGTGACATATCGGGAAAAGGGGAGGTAATGACATTGCTAACGTAAACTTTTATTTTCGCGACGTCAAATTGTGACATATCGGGAACAGATGCAGTTTTCTGATTTAACTTGAAAACGAGTTCATTGACTCCCCTTTTAAAAATGGCATTTGGTTTAATTACGTATGAAGATTATTTGTATCAATTTTCATAAAAAAAGTCAACAATGCAATTTTTTTTAAATTGGATAAAAATACAGCAAAAAAAGACGTTTTTTTCTAATTTTATGAACAACTATATCTGTCATAATTCAGCATCGGCCATAGTTCAATAGAAACCATTCAAAACAATACACGAATAAAAATGTTTGTACAATAGATACCCTATGAAAATAGAAAGATGCGAGAAAATATATATGTGATAAAAACAATGTTGATGTGCCAATGAAATCGTTACGTTCCAATCTTCATTTATTTTTCTACTTGATGTATACGCTACAGCAATACTAGATTGATAGCTGGTGGTTTTACCTCCAGTGACAAATATGTCACGCATGTACAAGATAAGAAATGCTGAATATGTTGTTTTTACAAAGTAGGAGCTGATCTGTATGAATGTTATGAATTGGAGACTGCCACTGAAGCACTAGGGTATGGATAGGGCAAAAGCACTAGTGTATGGATAGGGCAAAAAGTCACCAGCCTGTAAACCAACCCATCAAGGGCCCTTACTCGTGCACCATCCGATTTAACGTACACGTTCCGATCGTACGTGGCTGCGTATCTATCCATCCCACACGGTTTTAATACCAGAATGTAAGACGTCCAGAAGACTTAGTTCAGAAAATAATGTAAACAAAATCGATTGCTATTCAGGAATAATTAACATTTAATTGGAAATTTAAGACACTTTGCTGTTTCAAACACGAACTTAATTCCGATTAATTGAAAAATAAAATGCATCTCGAAAATTTAATCAAAGAAAAAGTAATTCACGACCACTGCTAATTTGGGACAGGCATAATACGAAATATAGCATTGTTAATCATATTCGAACGCGTCATCCTCCCTCAACCAGTGACAGTCGTGTTGTTACAGTAATGTTACAGTAATGTAACAACACAATACTCTTTTCATGTTTTTAGTTTTAAAATAAATTATATTCTATAAGCTACTATACAGTATGGGTTTTCCTCAATTTTGAAGGCCGTGTTGTTGACTATAATTGCATACACTCACTTCAGATGTCTCATTGGCAATCATACCACAAATCCTTATTTTTAAATAACGAATGGCCTTGTTTCAAGCTAGTCGGAGGTTTCTTGAATACATGTAATGTTTAATAAAATGAGGGTAACTAATCAAGTCACTGACATTTTCATTTCGATAACATTTTCGTTTGGTCAAAAGGCTATAAATTGCAAAATCGTCCTACTTTTTGTTCACTTACGGACAAAAAACACAGTTTTTAAGAACCTTGACAGTTATTTTGCGTCCAACTTATATCGGACATAGATAAATTAAATTTATTAAAAGTACAAAACTTTATTTCGACGTTACAATTTGAAAATTGTGTGTATTTGTCAAGAGATGCATGAGCATTCAATATTTTTAAATGTCACCTTGCATGCCTTTTTCAGATGATTTCATCTTCTGATAGTTACAGTTGTGTAGCTAGATGTCATCACAGGCAAATGTCTCTGCAATTGTTTACTTATATACCTTACTAAAATACATACGTATATAGGTTAAAATGGTTTAAACAAGTGCTTTAGATGTCCCGTGTTTCCTTTAGGTTTCTTATATTCATTCAGTCAACTGGATTTTAGAAATATTTGTGTCTATTTTTGTTTTAATTTGACGA